CCAGAAAGGGTGACTGAACATGGGAATGGGCTGGCAGGGGAGGCCCTATCCCTGAGTGATGGGGTGGTGTCAGGTCATGGGCGGGACTCCATCCCAAAGGATTTTTCCCATTTCTGAGCTGTTTGGACACTCTCCCCTGCAGTGCTGGTCCTCGGGGAGGATCTCCCACATCCCTTTCTTCTTCGTCAGTGCCCTGGAGCCCCGCGCCAGCCCCCGCCGCAGCCCCGTGCCCGTGCTGGGCAGCGTCAGGGAGCAGCCGCTCTTCTCCGAGCTCTGACCCTGCCCTGGCACCTCGGGGCCTCCTCTCTCTGCAGGAGCCCCCACACCTGCTCAGGGTGTGCCACTGCTCCTCCTACCCCGATTAAAGCTGGATTTTCCTTCCCTCTCCTCTGCTTTCTTCTAACTGATGGGAGCGGAAGATTTTTGGGGGTGAATTTTTGGGAAGTCCTGTGGGTCTGGAGGGGCTCTGGAGGCTCCAGAGTTGGTTTTTGGGGTCAGAAAGAACTTGGAGTGAACTCACAGAACCTGTTGGTATGATCCCACTGCAGCCCTTGGGCCAGGGCTGCTCTTTTGGAGTCAAAGAGCCGCATTTTGGGGAAAGGTGATGGCTGAAGGGGTTTGGGAGGGTGGGAGTTGGCTACACACAAAACCCCCAGGTTTTGTCTTGAGGGTGAGCAAAAAGTGAATCAACCCCTCTGTGGGTCCCTAAACCCACACCCCACCCTGGGGGCCCCAGGGTGCTCGTGCTGCCCCACGTGAGCCCCCCCAGCCCTGCAGGGTGGGGGCAGCAGCTGGACCCCCCCGAGAGGGGGGCAGCACAGTGAAATCCGGGGATTACACTCCCTTAATCCCAGGATTACGCCGCGCTGGCAGGGAGGCCTGGGAGGGTGCAGGGTCCCTGCTCCCCCCACCCCAACAGCTCCAGCACCCCCAAAATCCTCCCCAGAGCAAGGGGGAGACCCCCACCCCCTACAGCATCCAGGCCCTTCCTGGGGCCGGGCAGGAGGATCCAAGGGGGGTTCAGGAGTGATCCAGGAGTGACCCAGGAAGGATCCAGGAGTGATCCAGGGGGTATCCAGGGGTGACCCAGGAAGGATCCAGGAGTGATCCAGGGGGAATCTAGGGGTGACCCGGGCTCCAAACCCACCGCATCTGCTGGGGCAAGCCTGAGGGGGTTTCACCCGCCGGGCCCGCCCAGTTGGCTCCCGGCGTCACCTCCGGGGCCGCTGCTGAGCGGCTCCAGCTCCTCCAGGTGTGGCCGTGCCCGTGCCCCGCAGGGCAGAGCCCGCAGGTACTGCAGGTGCAGCCGCGTCTCTTCCCGGCTCCGCCGCACGAACCGGCCCACGCAGACCAGGACAGCCCCCAGCCACCCCCCCACGGCCACCAGCGCGGCCACGTCGGGGGCCCGCGCTGTCCCCACGGCGCTGCCCAGCGTCTCGTTGTGGCCGCCGGCCGGGGCCGGGGGAGCCTCCCCGGGGCAGCGGGACCGTCCCCGGCAGGGCTGGGGCAGCCCCAGCAGCAGCAGGAGCAGCCCGGCCGCCCGCATGACCCCGGGAACGCGCGGCTGGGAGGGGACGCGCCGTGACCCCCCCGCGCTGCTGGTGACACGCGGGTGGTGGCAGCGGGGGGGTGGCACCGGGTCTGTCCCTGTGCTCTGCAGGGGGGGGGTCACGGCTGTCCCTGAGTCACAGCAACCACTCAGTGTCACACGCAGCTCCCCCCGGGACCCCCTGAGCCCCCTCAACTGCGAATCCACTGGGCACACATTGGTTTTTACTGCTGCTGGCAGCACCAGGGACGTGACAGGAACAGGGACAAACTCCCAGGAAATGGAACCAAAAAGTCTCTGGCTGGGCTGGCAGCTGTGGCGCAGAGCACCTGGGAGGGGCTGCTCCCCCTCCTCAGCACAGCAAATCCCTCGGAGAATCCAGGATCCGAGCAGGAACGGTCCCTACAGCATCCCTGGGACCCCACACCGGGGTGACCCTGCTGGGGAAGGGGCTCACGTGCTCTCTGTGTTTCCCCCGAGCTCCAGCGTCCTCCGAGCCATCTCCAAGGCCCCCTCCCGGGTCCGGTTCCCCCCGATGAAGCCGCTGGCGTGGACGAAGACGCAGCCAGGAATTCCGGCCAGCTCGGACAGGGCCTCATCCCGCAGCCCCCGCCAGGCCTCGGGCAGGGGGAGCCTGTGGAGGACAGAGGGGTTGAGAGTGGTCCCAGCACCACACAGGGGGGCGTGGCAGGGCCAGGGGAGGGGTCTCACCGGCTCTGGAAGCTGTGGGGGGCTGTGGGGACGCTCTGTACCCGCCACTGCCCACCCCGGTCCGGGAACAGCACGAGCTGCAGGGGCCGGGGCAGGGCCAGCTCCCGCTCCAGCTGGAACAGGTGCTCCTTCCAGGGACAGCCCCCCTGCGACAGCTCCAGGACCTGCCCGCTGCCGTCCACCTGCGGGGGAGACACGCTGGGGACACGGGGGTGACCCCGAAACCACCCTGGGCTCGGCGTCCCCAAGACCTCGCAGTGCCCTCCTGCAGGGACGCAGATACCATGCAGGATATGGGGTGCAAAGCTCCCCCCTGGAGGTTCCTACCGAAGGGATTTGGCCTCCCCACATCCCAATTCTCCTCCAGAATTCCAGGTTGCCCCTGGGCTGGCTCGGCATTACCTCGAAGCGGTGCCGGATGGCCTCTTCCACCAGCGCCCGCGCCGGCAGCCAGGCCCGGTGGTAGAAGTCCAGGCGCTCCAGGAACTCGCTGCCCACCAGCTCCATGGCCCTCCTGAAGCCCGCCTGGGGACAGGGGATCAGCAGTGTCCCCGAGCAGGGTGCTCCTCACAGGGGGGTCCCCGGGGGCTGTCCTCACCTCGGTGTCCTGGTCGGGCTCGTTCCAGCGGGGGTTCAGGTGCCCCACGCGGGCGCTCAGGGTGGTGCTCAGGGCGTAGCGCGGCTCCCCCGCCGCCGGCGCGATCCCATTGTCCATGGCATCGATCTCCTCCACGAAGTTCTCGTAGAGCTGCGGACAGCGAGAGGGAAAGGGGACAGAGGAGGGGGAACAAGGAACAGTGGAAGGGGAACAGCGGGAGCAGTGAGGGGACAGCAGAGCTCAGCTTGGCTAGAAGAAGCCCAACTGCCCCAGCAGCCGCCACAAACTGGTCCCTGGCAGAGCCCCTGTCACCTTGTCATAGAGCGCTGTGACCACGGGCCCGTCCTCGGGCTGCCCCAGGAGCCCCGCGATGATCTGCGACCCGAAGTGACAATAGACGAGCCCGGCGCTGCTCAGCTTCGTGCTCCAGGGCTTGTCCGGCCGCAGGCTCCGCATTGACTCCGTGAAGGACCTGCGGGGCCACACGGTCACCCCAGGGACCCCTGGGGAGGCCGCTGTCCCCAGCGGGGGTCTCACCTCTGGTGGTGGTCGTAGCGGTGCCGCTCCGGGTCGTACTCGCCCCCCACGTCCACCACCACGTCACAGCCGGCCAGGCGCTGCGGGTCCCGCGTCCGCACGATCTCCGCGTCCTGCAGGGGACACGCGGTGAGGGTCCCCAGGGCTACCGGGGACCCCCCGGGAGCGGCTCCCAGTGAGGAGGGGGTGGGGGAGATAAAGGTGACACGCAGGTGGGACCGGGGACAGAAGGGCGGTCGCTGGGTGGGCTCAAGTGTCCCCACATGAGACTGAGAGAGGAGCGACCTGGAGGAAGACGCAGGGACCGGGCACCGCACGGTGCCCCGGTCCCGTACATGCCCCGGGCGGGACCATACCCGGTAGCGGGGCAGGAGACGCAGCAGGAAACATGCCAGCGCCTCGTCGCAATGGAAGGTGCCGTCGTGGGTGCCGATGCGGGCGGCGGGCTCGGGGTGAGGCCGCTTGTGCCCGGCGCCGGTTCCTGTCCCGGTTCCAGCCCCGGTGGCGGCCATGAGCACGGACCGGGCGGCGCGCGCGGCAACGCGCATGGCGCGAGAGGCCACGCCCCCATGAGGCCACGCCCATATAACGTCAGCTCTTCCCGCCGGGTTTTTCCCGCGCTTGCCCGGGGCGGGACCAAGGCGCTGGTTGGGTGTGGCGGGCGCCCCCTGGCGGCCGGGACCGGGGACACAGGGACAGAAGGACAGAAGGACACACGGACACCTCCCCCAGCTCTGGGACAGACACACACGGTCCTGCACAGCCCCCGGGGGACCCAGGGACGGACACAGAGGAAGGGACGGACACACGAGCCTAGGGCTGAGTTGATTTGCCCAAGCAGGAGTTTATTGGCCAGAGCCGGGGACCCTCTGGCCATTGGTCATAGCCTGAGGGGGCTGTGATGGCTCTTCCCAGGGGTCTGAAGCACCCCACCTCCCACATCCCCTTCCCAGGGTTTCCTCGGGGTGGGAACAAGGGCCTGGAGCCGGCTCCAGAACATGGCAGGGGGAGGAAGCCAAACTGGATTTGGGATCCCAGGGGTCCCTGTCCCATCCCAGGGGCCATCACCACATTCCCCAGAGGGGTCCAGCTCCGAAGTGGGAGTGTCTCCTGGAGACCCCCCCTGCTCCGCCATTCCCAGGGAGTGCAAACAAAGCTCATCCTGCTCTTCCCTTTGAGGGTCGAGGACAAAATTTCCCCTCACGGGGCTTTCTCCGCTGCCTCTGGCTCATCCCAGTCCGGCGGCAGCAGCACACGGGGAATGTTGGAGCTGCGGGGCCATCGCCCATGGCAGCTCCTGGCCGGGATTTGGGGTGTCCGAGCCCAAGGGTGCTGTGGGATTTTGGGGGGAGCAGAGCAGGGCACGCACAGCGGCGCCCTGAGTTCATCTCCTCGCACTTCCCCTTCCCAGCGTTCGGAAAAAGAAGGGATTCGAGCAGCCCCAAAACCATCCACGGAGAGATCCACCAGCTCGCGGGGACGCTGCTCCTGGGACGGGGAAAAAACCCGAGCAGCGCTGCCAAACCCCAACCCCTGCTCGGGTTCACGGCCCCACTCCTCCCGGCACAGCCAGGGCTGGCTCTTCCCGGAACCATCCTGGGACATCTCCCGGCGCTCAGGAGATCTCGTTGCCGAACACCTCGAGCACGAGCGGCGTGAGCTGCATGCTGTGCTCGGGCTGGAAGGACAGACAGCGGTACTGCCGCGAGTGCTCCTCGTTCAGGCTGCGCAGGTCCGCCAGCTTCTGGATCATCTTGGCGTAGAGCAGGCGGCTGCCGGGCGGCGGGTGCCGGGCGCGGATGTAGCTCTGCAGCACCTCCGAGAGCCGCTCCTGCAGCGCCTCCACCCGCAGCGGCTCCTGCACGCCCGGCCGGTCTGGGGAGAGGGCAGCGCTCAGGGCAGTCCTTCCCTTCCGTGGGGCTTGGGGTCATTCCCTCCCTTTTCTGGGGTTTGAGAATCTGGGGTGATTCCCTCCCTTCCGTGGGGTTTGGGGTCATTTCCTCTCTTTCGTCCCTTTTTAGGGTTTGGGGTTATAGGCCCCCTTTCGTGGCTTTTTAGGGTTTTGGGTGATTCCCTCCTTTTTGTCCCTTTTCAGGGCCAGCCTTGCTTGGGGGTTTTTCCATCCCTTCTGTAGGTTTTTAGGATTTGGGGTGGGTTTGTCCCTACCTGGGGACAGGATGCAGATGGCCATGAGCAGCACATGCTCCTCCTCATGCAGGTTCAGCTTCTTCAGCCCCACCTGGAATTTCACCAGCGGCTCCAGCAGGTCCATGCTGTGCCCGGCTGTGGAGAGAACAGAGCCTCAGAGGGACTCTGGAAAAGGCTCTTGTCCTCCAGAAGGGGATTTGTCCCTTTGGAAGAGGATTGTTCCCTCTGGAAGGGGATTTTTTTCAAGACATATTGGGGTAGCACTGGGGACATTGAGGTGGCACTAGAGAGATTGAGGAGCTGCCACTTGTCACCCCTCAAACCCCCAAAATTTGGGGTAGGAGCCGTCTCCTTTCTCAGCACAAAACCAGCCACAGAGGGAAGGCCCCACGGGGAGAAAAGCAGGGAATTTCAGGATTTGGGGCGGGGATTCCCTTACCCTGGGTGACATCGCTGACCCTGTACTTGAAGTCGTTGCTGCCGCAGGTCCAGGACATGTCCTCGAGGGTGAAGGACTGGTTGGAGCGCAGCATGATCACCTCGATGGCGCTGCACTTGAGCAGCACGATCTGGTCCTCTGCAGACAGATCCCTGCGAGAGGATTTGTCCTCTGGGTGGGGGTCAGGGTGCTCGGGGACAGAGGGGACACAGGACAGGCCCAGGAGGAGCTGCCACCCCCAGGGTGCTCACCAGGCCCTCAGTTGGGGCTCCCTCCCCAGAAATTGCCATCCCAGGTTTTTTTTCAGGTTTTTGCCCCAAATCTTGGAACGAACAGAACCTGAGGCCCTTCACAAACCCCTCGAGTGCTGCAGGAGATCTGGGTGTCTCCCTGATGGAATTTGGGTGCGTTTTCCAGGGTATTGGGAAAAGAGGAGAACCCCAGGGAGGGGGAGAGACAGAAAACAGATCTGGGAAGGGAACGGAGCTGAGGAATGGCTGGGAAGGAGAAACAGGGAAGGGCAGCACAGGATTCCCAGGAGTGGGAATCACCAGATCTGGGATCCAAGCCTCACCTGAATCCCGGGATCATCTTGGCAAAGCCGATCACCTTCTGGATGCTGTAGCTGACCAGGTCAGCCAGGTGTGGAAGCATGGAGAGCTGTGAGAATTCCAGGTTCATGGAGGAGCTCTCGTCCTGCTCCTCCGGCAGTGCCAGGTTGGGAAACGGCGCCGGCTCCGCAGAATCTGCCCAGAGGGAAACGCTCTGAGGGGGGTTTGCACTTCAGTGAGCCCCCACAGGAGGTGAAAAAGGCTCTGGAAAGCCAAATTCGGGTGCAACTGCTGCCCCTCTGGCCTCCAGAGGGCAGAGAGACGGGAACGTGGGTGGCTTTGAAGCCAGGTTTTCCTCAGGGTCAGGGCCAGTTTGGGATCCCATTCTGGGAATGTGGGATGAGGATGAAGAGGAGGAAGAGGAGCAGGGCAGACCTTCGTGGCGAGGTTAATTTGGGCTCTGGCACAACCCTTCCTCACCCGTGGAATTCGGGGTTTGGGGTGTCACCCCCAGCCCAAAGCGAGTCCTGGGGTCCCTCCCTGGCTCCCAACCCCAGTTTGGGGCCAGGAGGAACTGGGGCACACCTGGGAATGTGCCAAAGCTGAAGAGATCCGAGGAATCCTCCGAGGACAGGTCCTGGGTGAGGAGGGACGAGGATTTCGTGGCCCCTCTGCTGCTGGGGTTGCTCCTCACAGGGGGCTGGGGGAGAAAACAGAGAAAAATCCCTGAGGAGCGGGGCTGGCAGAGGGATTTGTGGATTTTGCAGGGGGAATTTGAGGGACAAAGGAGATTTTCGGGGTCAGTACCCGAAATTTGGTGAAGTCAGCATAGGTGGGGTCGTAGGTTTTGCGATGGGCCTCGAGCAGGATGTCGATGACTTTCTGCTGCTCCTCTGAGACTTTGGGCTTGAGGCTTTCCTTCAGTGCTTCCTCCTCCTTCCTCTTCAGGATCATCTCCCGCTTCCTCTGCACCTCTTCGTCCGTCAGGATGACTGGGAAAGGACGAGGGGCAGAATTAGGGATTGGAACAACCCCTGCATGCCACACCCACCCCCTGTAAAATCGCTTTTTCCACCTGGAAAATCCCTATTCCCCCTACAGCCCCTTAGCCCTGCCGTGCCCAGGAGGTTTCTGGTGCTTTCAGGCAAGGCTTTGGGGGCACCGAGGCCGTGCCAGCCCTGCCCCGTGCCTGCTCTGCTCCCTCCCTGTTTGCTCTCAAATCCCGATCCCGAAAGCCTTGGGGCCGCTGGGTTCACCGGGCTCCAGCTCCTCTCGGCTCCCAGCTGCCACCAGGGGTGTCCAACGCTGCTTCAGGGCAGTTTTAATCTGATTTTTAAGGTCAAGGCACAGCCAAACCTCCCCCGCCCTCAGGGTTGGGGCTTTATGGCTTTTATTGGGGTGGCGGCGCTCGGCAGCGGCCAAAGGTTGGGCACCACGCAAGGCTGGGCCTGTTTGTTTATGCAGAAGAAGCAGCCAGGGGCAATTTGGGCTCAAATCTTCACTTTTTTATCAACAGCTCCGAGCCCTGAGCGGTCTCAGAGGATAAAAAAGCACCAGGGAGCTGCACAAACCTCTGGGGTCCCAAATCCCGAGAGCCCCGGGGGGACAGAGCCCCCAAAAGCAGGAGCTGCCTTTCCTCAGCCCTTCCTCCAGGGACTGAGGCTTCCCAAAGGTTGGTTTGGAATTCCCTGGGTGCAGGGATCCACTACTGGAGAGTCAAGGTGGAGTGGAGGGCGAGAGGTCAGCAAAGGACGGGAGGAGCTCGGGGCTGGCAACCCTCAGCCTCCCCTGCTCCTTTGGCCAAGGGCGATTTTCCATTCTCCACTTTCCAGCCTTGCACAACCTCAGAGGGGCCTGGGACACCTCGGGAGGGGCTGGAAGGTCACTCCCACCTCTGCCATTGCCAGCTCCGTGGCTGCCTGGGGAGGAAAATCAGGATTTTGCCATTCCCCCATCCCAGTTTTTATCCCAAAAAGCACCAGATTCATGTGGGCACTGCCTGCTTGGGGTCACCCATCCCTGGCCATGCACAAGACCAGGAGCTATTAAAAATCCGTGAAGGAGGATTTTTAGGGATTATCAGGGAAGGATCCAAGGGAGCCTCAACATCCCTGAGGGACAGATGCCCCTCCCTCAGCTCCAAGCAGCTGCAAAAAGGCAGGGAAGGGGCAATTCCACATTTTCTGGCTCCCCGGCAGGTGGGAAAGGCCAGATTTCCCAGCCCGTTATCCAAGGGGAGAGAGCAGTGAGGAGGGGACAGGCCCTGGCTGAGACCCGAGAGGGACAGCAGGAGAATTCCCAAATCCCAGGGGGGATTTTCCCTGCCTGCTGCCCCTGGCCTGCCCTGCTTGTCCCCAGACAGGCAGGAAGCCACGAACGTTTGGCCAGGCCGGTGTCCCGGGGCTGGCCGTGCCCTCGCTGCTCCGAGCCCCCGGCCCCTCGAGGGTTTGGGGTCACAGAATCCTCCAGGGGGACAAACCCCGGCCCCAAACCGGGACTGGGAGCCAGGGGGGACCCCAGGCCCAAATTCCAGGCGTGGGGAAGGGTCTGCCTGGGTCAGAGCCCCACATGAGGGTCCGCCCTGCTCCTCTTCCTCCCTGTCCCACATTCCCTGAATCCCAACACCCTGTGGAAAACAGGGCCTTGAAACCTTCCCGATTCCCTTCTGCCGCCTAAAAATAACCCCAACCTTTCGTCCTCCCTCCTTTTTCCAGCAGCAAAGTCCATTTTTAGCTATTTTTAGCCTCTCTGGGCCAGTTTTGGTTAATCCAGGCAGGATTTGCTAACAGGGCTGTTTACACGTTAACTCCTGTGAGGAAAACATGGAGAAAACCACTGGAATTGGTGCCCAGGAACTTTCCAGCCCTTCCTAGGGAATTAACTGGCTGCGGGTGCAAATTAAAGCACTTCCCTCCTTAGGGGCTCCTCAAAAAGCAGGGACAGATCCCCAAAATTTGGAGACAGCCAGTGTGGGCTGTGGCCTTTTCCTCCCTCATCAACCTGCCAATCTCAAAGAATAAAAAAAAATATCCAGGGATTTTTATCTGGATCATTGAATATGTAAGCATTTTTTTCCCCACAAACACCTCCAAATTCTGATTTTCTGAAGGCCCTGGGGTGACATCAGGCTCTGTTTGCTCCCTGTTTAGCACATCAGGGAAAGGGCCCTGCTTCCATATCCCGAATTTACAGCTCCATGGACACCCTGGCCACAGTCTCCCAGCAGAAAAGGTTTGGTTGGAGCTCTCCAGGAGCACCCAGCTCCTCCCCAGCACCTCAAACACGTTTTATTTTTAAAAGCCACTTATCTCTAAATACACCCGGAGAAAACAAACATTTGGGCCACATTTGTATGTTTGGACTGGGCTTAAAAACCGCTTTAATTCCCTCTGCTGTTGACTTAAGTCCCTGCTTTATTCCACATGGAAAAAAGGCTCAGAAAAAAAAAAAATCCCAGAGGGAGAAGAGGAAAACTCAACCCGGCTCCAGGGGCATGGGGAAATTCATCCAGCTCTCCCCGTGGAGCAGGGAAAATGCTGGAAAAGAGGATTTTCAGAGACACTGGGAGCCAGGGAGCCGATTTTCCTCAAAAAACCAGGAAAATCCACGAGAAAACAACTCCTGGGTGGGAAGGAATCATTAAACCAGCTGCACTCAATCATTACCCGCTGCTTCCTCTGCCCTTTGCATCCCCCTGGGACGTTCCCAGTGCCACCCCTGGCCCCAGGGACAGGGACAGGCTCGGCCCCTGGGCTCATTCCCAGCTGGACACTCACATTCCTTCATCATGCCGATGTCCAGGCAGCGCTTGAGCCGGCAGGCCTGGCAGTGCCGCCGGTTGTCCTTGGTGATGTGGCAGTCCCCGCTGAAGGGACAGGTGAACATGGCCTTCCTCTTCATGCTCCTCCTGGAAAAGAGCAGGAAAAGGCAAAGACCCTCCTGGGGATGGATTCCCACTGTTCTGGCTGATGCTCCAAACGCTGGGAGCTTCAGGCACTGCTGGAAGAGGGAAATTTCCCACAGGGAAACATCCAAGTGTTCAGGCACAGGTTTAACCCAGAATGGTTTGGGGGGAAATGACCTTGAACCCAGCCTGAGCCCCTTCCACCAAACCAGGCTGCTCTAAGCCCAGCCCAGCCCAGCCCGATGGGTTTAAGAAGGTTTTTGGGTCCAAACAGGGTGGAAGGATTGCACAGAAACCCCCCTGGCAGCAAAACAAACCTGAGCTGGGGTTTAAGGCGAGCCTCCCTAAGCCCGGCTTTGCTGGCAGAACTGGCCTGAGCACATTTTGGGTATGCAGGGAGAGGAATTCTCGCTGCAGGACACAGAGAAAGGAGCCCGAAAATGACAACCTTGAGCTGCAGCAAAACCACAGCACGGCCCGGGCGGAGCGGGAACGTGGAGCAAAGGGACAAAGGGTCAGAGCCAAAATAATCCAGGGAAAAAGGGCCAGAGCCTTCCAGGAAAAAGGGTCAGAGCCAGAACCTTCCTGGGATAAAGGGTCAGAGCCAAAATACTCCACAAAAAGCTCCTTTTTTTCCATGAAAACTCAGGGAAAAGCAGGGAATGCAAAAACAATGAGGCCATGGAGCAGGGAAAAACATTCCCAGGGCTCAGGACAGCCCAAAATTCCAGGTTTGGAAAGAAAATTGCAGCTTGGGTGGCTCCGGAGGCTCCCAGGGTGACACTGGAGCCAGGCTGGGATTCCATGGAAACCATTCCCAGGCGGATTTGGGATCCTAGGGGCTAAAAGCAGAGAATTCCAGGCCTGATTCCTGGCCTGGAATGGGGGAATTGCTTTGGGGATGGGGGCAGAATTCCCAGGGTGACACAGAATTCCGAAAGGGGACAACAAACTTCCCTGGAAATGCTGGATTTTGGGAAGAGCTGCTCCAGAGGATCTCCCGTCCTTCCTCATCCCCCAATCCCAGAGGTTTTTGAGGAGATTTTAGGGCTTTCTGGCTCAGGAAAAATCCCAATTTGTGACCCCAGAGGAGTCCTGGAGCACTGCAAGGCTCCAAGATCCATGAAAAATCGTAGAAAGACAGGGAAAAAGCCATCCCAAGGTACCAAACTAACAAAAAAAAAAAAAATTATTTCCCCCCCTTAAACCATGGGAACGTGGCACCACCCGGAATTCCGGGCCTGCGCCAGGATCCGATGGGATTCCCTCTGGGACTCCCGAGGTTTTTTCGGGATGGGGGCGTTCCCAGGGGTGGGGGCCCACCTGAAGAAGCCCTTGCAGCCCTCGCAGGTCATGGCGTTGAAGTGGAAGCCGGTGGCTTTGTCCCCGCAGACGCCGCAGATCCGGGACACGTTCCGCTCGGGATCCCCGCCGGGATCGGCCAGGGACGTGCTGGAAGCGCCCGGCTCCATGGCTGGGAGGGGAAAAACTGGGATTTGTCACCAAAGTTCAGGGCTTTTCTTTGAATTCCTCCTGATTCGGGGCAAAGTTGGGGTTTTAGTCCTAAAATTATCCCTAAAATTCAGGATTTTTCCTTGGTTTTCCCCTGATTTGGGCAAGGAATTTTTATTCCTGTTGCTTCTGGGAATTAAAACCACCCCACAAATCCAATTTTCGGGATTCTGGAATGCTGGGAAAGCTCTGGGATTGGGAGAGGCTCAATTAGTGCCTCACTAATGAGGGAAAACAACCCCAAGGCTCCTTAAAAATTCCCAGTGTCTCTGGACAGATTTTCCTTTTAAAAAGGGGAAAAAAGTGTTTTTTTCCTATTCCAAACCTGCCCATTCCCAAATTCCAGTGGCGCCTTTAAATCCACTAAACTCCATTAAATCCCAATTAAAGAATTCCCTCTGCTCTGAGGCTGTTTTCCAGGGATTCCCGAATGGGATTTTGGGGCTTTCCATGGAATTCCCTGGGACAGCATTCTCCTCTCCCTCACCATTCCCACCCAAAGCCTGGATTTTCACCTTCATTCCTTTAATTCCTTTGGAATTTTGCTTTCCTTTGGATTTTTCCAGACAGGCCTCGGGGTTGGGCTGGAGGATCCCTTCCCATGGAATCGTGTCCCCAAACCACCAATCCCAAACTGAGAATTCCCGAAGCCCCAAAGGAGCTGCTCCACTGGGACATTCCAGATAAATAAAAATCCAAGGAAAATCAGGAGAGGGAAGGGGTGAAAGTTTCCCAACGGAATCGGAGCAAAGAGCAGGGACAGATCCAACGCCCTGGGAATTCTGGCTGGGAAAAACGAGCCCAGCAACTCCAGAACTCCCAGCCCTGGCACAGGAGGGAACTCTGGGATGAGGAACTTGAGATCCACAGGTCCCAGTTTTCTCTCCATCCCATATAAAATTGGGAATATTCCAGGTCAAACCCTTGGATTGCCATTCCCTGTGTTCCAAACACATCCTACTGCTCATTTTAAATGGGAAAAATACAACGAAGCTAAGCTTTTCCTGGGACTTTCCCAGAAAAAGATCCCTCCATGGAAAAGCTTTCTCCCTTTTCCAAGGAAAAACCCTGAAAAATGCAAGAACAGGAATACTCCCCACAGAATCTTCCCTGGTGCTCCCTGAACCCTTCCTGGGTTTCCTCCTCCTGCCCCAAATTCTTCTCTTTGCTCCTTTAGTTCCCCAATCCTTAATTCCAGGCAATCCAAGGAATCCTTCCTCTCATATACCAAGAAAACCCCAGGGAAGGCCGACAGGCAGAAGCTGCCCCTGCTTGTGGCAAATTCCAGAACTCCTCTGGAGCTTCTCCCTGGATTTCGAAATATTCCCAAACAGGTTCTGGCTCCGTCACCCTCTGGGGAGGGAAAACCACCCCAGGAAAATGCAACTCCCAGGAATTTTCAACTTTTTTTTTTTTTTTTTTAAACTATCTTCAGCCTCTCTTGGGCTTTTTTTGCTCCAAAAGGAGGAAAATTCCAGCAAAATGGTCCTGAAATGTACCCAGAAAACAGGGATTAGGGAGAGGACCTGGAATTTGGGGAATTTCAACCTTAATTCCCTGGGTTGGAGCAAGGATTATTGGAAGTCACTGGGACAGGCCCCCTGGGAAAGTTTAGGGTGGATTTTATGGAAAATTCCTCATCCAGAGGGTGGTCAAGCACTGGAAAAGCTTCCCAGGGACTGGGCAGGACCCTGGGGCCTCCAGAGCCCAAGGAAGTTTTGGAAAACACTCTTGGATATTTGGGGTTTTTGTGCCCAGTGGGGGGCCAAGAGCTGGGCAGGGTGATCCCAGTTTGGGATTTTCCAGGACTCTGAGGCAGGGTGATCCCAGTTTGGGATTTTCCAGGACTCTGAGGCAGGGTCCAGGATCCGAGGCCTTGGGATCCCCCTGGGATCGGGGCCCTTCCAGGCCACGGCCCTGCCCCACAATAAACTCATTTCCCAACATTCCTGCTGGCCAAAGGCCGATTTCCAAAGCCATTCCCAGCAGGAGAAACCCCTTGGATTTGGCTGAGGGGGATTTTTGGTGTGGAATGTCCAAAATCCACCCAAAATTCCCTCCCAATATCGAGCATGACAGGAGTGAAAGGCCCATCCCTGTGTGGGAGTGGAGAGACAAAATATGAGCCTGGAAATGCCAATTTTTGGGCAAAAAGGGCCAAAAACGCAGTGTATCCTGGATTTCCCTCCAGTGGGAGCCTTTCAGTGGGATATTTCCAATTTTAGATGGTAAAAAACCCCCAGATTTAAGTCCTGTAATCTCTGATATTATCCTCAAAGCAGGAATATTTGCTGCTACAAGGCCTTCCCAAAAAACTCCAGTGTCCCTAAAAGCCTCCAGAGACACAAACCCAACCCAGTCCCTGCTAAACCTTCCCAGAAATTATGACTTTTCCTTGGAAAAGGAATTTTGGGTGGGCTCACAGCCCCCCATGCTGTTCAGAGACCCCAAACCAGGTTTTGGGGAGGGTCACAAGGGCGAGCTGGATCCCAAATCCCGACTTTTCCCACCTGTCTGGACAAGCCAGGAGGAAAATTCCAACTGATCTCAGCACGTGACGGGGCCTGGCCCTGCCCTGTTCCTTCCATGGCAATTCTCCTGCTGCTGGAACTGATCAGAAATTGGGGGAAATTCTGATTTTCCCCTTCCCCAGAGGAGCTGCAGCATTCCCAGCCCAACTGGAGCAGGAATTGCTCCTCCTGGGGTTTAGAAAGACCCAAAATTGACATTTTTTTTGTCCTGTGAGCAAAGCCCTGCCCTGAACCTGCTCCCCCTCCTTCCAGGATCCCAAATCCCCCTTGGATTCAGGAATCACATCCTACCTCACCCTTCTCCCTGACAGCTTTGGGACACAACCATTCCCAGACATTTTGTCCCCAAGTTTTCTGGCTGGAATTGCCACCCCTGGGAGTAGGGAAGAGAATCTCTAAGGAATGAAAGAGCCCCAAAATCCCAATTTTGAGGCCCTGTCCCAGGCAGTGTCCTCAGGGGAGACAGGGACCACCCTGGGCAGCAGCAGGACACAAATCCAGGTTTTTCCCATGCAATTCTTGGAGTGCCCCAGCCCCTCAGGAAGGGATTGTGGAGCCCAGGACTCCCCCAGGCCCACGAATGGCACCAGAACGCCAGGAGTAAATGGGAAAAGACCACAGAATTCCAAAAAAACTGCTGGGAAGGGCTCTCCCTATTTGAGAAAAAAGCCCAAAGCAGAGGTGGAAGGGCGGCAGCAGCAGCAGCCCCACACTGTGGAATAAAATCCTCTTTTTATGCTGGAAGCAGCCCCAGAATAGCCCCGGGAAGGTGTGGAGCCTCACAAGCGATTCCCAGGAAATCTGGGATTTGCTGTCCCCTCCCAGGGCCATGTCCTGGGCTAACAGCAGAGCTGGGCCTTGTCAGGCTCCTGAGCAGGGGATTTCTGGAGATGGGAGGGATTTTTTGGGAGCTCTCTGGGGCAGCAGGGACAGGAGAGCCCAAGTCCCTGTCCATTCCCTGGGATGCGCCTGGAGGAAAAGGGAATTTTCACAGAAGGTCCTGCCTTGGAGCTGGAAAAGGAGCCTTTAGAGGCCCCAAATCCCTGTCCACTCCCTACCCCGGGATGTGCCAGGTGGAAAAGGGAATTCTCATTCCCCAGAATATCGAATTGCCCAAGGAAGGAGGAGGAGTGAGAATGATGCAGCAGCCAGAGCTGTTGCAGTCTGGAATTGGGAAACTGGAGCAGCAGCCACGCCTGGGGCATGGAGAAGGTGGGAAAAGCCTCAGGAAACGGCTCCAGCTTTTCCAGAGAAAAACTGGGAAGGCTTCATGTGCCAAAAATCCCCTTTTCCACCCAATTTGCCTCTGGAAGCAGGGGCACACTCAGGAAAGGAGAATCCAGAAGAACCTGGAGCAGCTCCCGGGATTCTTGGCAATGAGGAAATGCCATAGGATGCCCGGATCGAAATTCCAGGTGCTGTTTTCCAGCGTTTTTCCGCCCCTTTTCCGTTTATTGGTGGCGGGAAAGGGTGAGGGTTGAGCTGATAAGGGCCGAGATAAGAGCGATGGGCCCGGGGAGGAGCTGAGTCAGCACCGGCTGGAGGTGAAGTGGCAGCACCGGGGGTGGCACCGGGGACATCCTGGCACTGCCACCTCCGGCAGATTTTTGTTCCATTCACGCCTCAATTTAATCTTAATTTCCCTGCATTTTTGCTCCCTTTGTTTTCGCCCTATTTTCCCTGGATTTTTCTTATCCCTCCTCACTTTCCCCATCATGCCCCTGAATTTATTTATTTATTTACTTTCAATTTTAATTCCCAGAACCATTCCCATTCTTCTCCTCTTCAGGCTCCTATTTCCATCTCAGCCCACCTCTAGCCAAGACTTTTCCTCTCCCAATCCCTGGCAATTCCAGAATTTCCCCTCAGGGAGCTCGGGCTAGCCCGGCTCTGCTTTGGCTCAGCCACAGGAGGTTAAATATTATTCCCTAGAGAAGGATTAGCCATTAAATGGGAAAAAAACCTCCTGGATTTTCCATTTATTCCTCACTAAACACAGTGGGATTCAGGGAAACAACCCCCAGCCATGAGCCCAGGTACGTTGTTACCTGGGAAAAATCAGATTTTTGGGATTTTTGTTATTGCTGGGACATCTCAGTCCTGATCTAGTCACGCCCTGGAGATCTGGGGCAGACATCTCCCATCATCCTCATCATCATCCACATCATCATATCCCAGATCTTCCTCGCTCTGGGATTCCAGAAGGAAGCCAACCTCACCCTGGCACTTTTCCCTCCTTTATTTCACCTTATTTCTGCCAGTCCAGCCCAACCCGAGGCTTTTTAAACTTAATTTCACTTTATTTATGCCATTTTTGCTCGCCTTGGTTTCCCCATATTTCTCTGGATTTTTGCTCTCCTCAGACTTGGGGGTTTCACCATTTCCCTGGATTTCTCTCCATTTACCCTCGGGTTTAATCTTTATTTCCCTGGATTTTTCTCCCCTCACTGCCCAATTTCCCAGGATTTAATCTGAATGTCCTTAGATTCTTGCTCCCCTTGATTTCCCCATAATTTCCCTGGATTTTTCCCTCTCTCTTCCCCGGGTTTAACTCGGATTTCCCGGGATTTTTGCCCCGCTCACACCTTGCTTTCCCCATCACCTTCCTGGATTTTTGCTCCCCTTGGCTCCCCGGGTTTCCCCCCTCTTCCCTGAGTTTAACCGCAATTTCCCGGGATGTTCGTGTCCCGCCGCGGCCGCGGCTCCTGCCCCGAGCCGGAGGAAGATGAGTCACGGGCGGCTCCGGGGGAGGAGGAGGCGCCGCAAAAACGTCGCTTCTCCCGAAAACCTCTTTTCCGAGAAAAAAACCCCAACTCTTCTCAAAACTCCAGCCTTGAAAAGGAGAGGAAGGAGCGGCTCAGCCGTCCCAAAAACTCTTTCGTGGAGGATCCCCCAATGCCTGGTGCATAAAAATCCCCCCGTACCTTGATTTTCCTGGGGCTGGCACGGCTCGGGGTCGCTCCAAAATACGGGAAGGCGCTGGGGAATTAAAAAGGAGGGCTATTAATGTCGTGCCGGAGGGGCTCAGCTCCCCAAAATACCCGAATTGGGACCTTGAACGTGGGTTTAAACGGGGCGCTTAACTACGAGAGCAGCCAGAAACCCTAAAAATCGCATGACAGAAACCCTAAAGCCACATAAACACCCCCACGGCCCCCCAGAAATTTCCCGGTTTCGAAGGCCCCAAAAAGGGGGGAGCCCCAGAGCGGGGGAGAACAGCGGTGCCTTTCCGGGATGTGGGGACGCCCCGAAGCGCCCCAAAACTCCCAGGTGAACTCAGACGCCTGCAGGTGGTCAGGGCTGAGGCTGGACAGTCCCGGACCCCCCAAAACCAGGAGCCACCCCCACAACGGGACGGGGACACCCCTAACCCCCATGGGATGCGAATTTTGGGAAGGAAAAGCCCCCAGAGCCCCCAGCCGAGGGCGAACACGGGGGACCGGGGGGATCTCACAGGGGACCCCCGACCCCTCCCAGGGCACCGAGGGGGGTCCGGCACACTCGGGACCCCCAAGCCAGCACGGAAATAGCGCGAACCAAACCAGGAAGCACCGGGCAGCCTCAACGCCCGCCCCGTGTCCCGCCTGCCGGCAGGGACACCCGGGGAGCGCCCCGTGCCTGCGTCCCGTCACCCCCAAGGTACCCCCACAGCCCCCCGCATCCCGGTTCCCGTGGAGCAGCCACCCGCGCTCGCCCGCAGCGAGCACCTCCGGTGTGCCGGGGAGCGCCGGAGTCACGGCGGGCGCTGAGCAGGACAGGACAGGACAGAACTTGTACCCGGTGTCCCCCCAAGGTTCCCCCCAAGGTTCCCCCCCGGTATCCCCAGCCCAGTACCTGAGCCCTGGCCCCGCTGCCACCCGCGCCCCGCCCGCTGCCGCCTTTTGACGGGAACCGGCGCCGCGGCCCCGCCCCCTCCGTGCCCCAATGCCAGAGCGGCACCGCCTTGGCCACGCCCACACAGCCATATAAGGTCCGTTATGGGCGTGGTCTCCGTGAGGGGGCGTGGCGAGGATTTGCACGTGGCCCCCCGGTAGCGCGGGGGCTTCCCCGGAGGAGCCGCTCGGGGTCCCGGGGCCGCTGCCCCCCGGACCCTCTGTGCCCTCCGGACTCCCCCTGACCCCCGAACCCCCGCCGCCCCCCCCCCCCCCCCTCCCCCGCCGCCCCCCCCCGCCTCCCTGCTGCCCGCCCGCCCCCTCTGCCCAGCCTGTCCTTGCTGCCCACTCTACCCCTTCTCCCGCACCCAGGACCGCCCGGCTGGGCAGGGGACTCGGCGTGCCAGCGCCCGGCGCTTTGGGAGCTGCCACTCCTCCAGAAAGTCCAGTGGGCCCGGGCAGCTGATCCAGCTCCCAGTGAGTGCCCAGCGCTGTACTGGGACAGGACAAACGCCACCAGCACCAGAGTGCCACCCCCAGCACTCCTGGCTCTTTGCAGGCTCAGCTGCTCCCGTTGTCCCCACAGAACCCCGAGGGTGATCCGAGCCTGGGGACCCGCAGGATACATGGATTTAGCTGCTCCTGAAGCACCTGAGAGTGTTTGGGACAGAGTAAGAACCGACCTTGACCATCGAAAATCTCGTTACTGGTGACTCGGAATGTGGGATTTTGGGCAGAGCCAGCTCAACACAACACAACCCAAAGATGCTCTGTTGCCTGGGCACGCTACATCCCTAGTCAAAAAAAATCGGGATATTCGGCAATTTCCCCCTTCCCATCCTCAAACACCCACCCAGGATGCAGCCACCTGCAACACCGAATAAAGCAGCGAGAAGCGCTCCCAAAAAAACCCTGCTGGTGCTCTCAGAGTTTATCGGTGTCCCCTAAACCCAAAATCCCGGGAGCAAGCGAGCCCCCGGCGCCGCGGAACCCCCGCAGCCGCGGGCACCGGGTTCAGCAGCCGCGGTTTGCGTGGGGAAAACGTTTCGAAATCGCCTTTAAATTGATTTAATGACGGCGAGGAAGGGAAAACAACGTCTGGGAATAAATGGGAGCTCATCAGAGGCAATTTCGTGGCGCGAAAGGATTTCAGGAAGGTGGGGAGTGGTGAAAGTTGCTCATCGCCGGTGTTTTTGGGATCGGAGATCTTTCCATGCCGAAACAAAATGTCCCAAAATCTCCCAAGGCTTTTCCCCACTGGCACGGCCATGTACCAGACCAGCGTGACACATTTTCCATACAAATTTGCCGTCGATGCCACCTTTTTCCCACCGGGAATTTGTTCCCTTCGAGCTCTGGGGGAAGTCCGTGGCCGGGGAGAGTTTGAATTCCCTCCCTCTCTCCCGATTTCCTACTGCTTTCCCCCCCTCGATCCACCTGGCACCAGGGGTTTGGGGATAAATCCCGGCTCCGCTCCGCATCCCTGGGACAGCAGGGATGTGCAGGGATTCGGGAGGATTGAATTTCTACATGGAATTTAATTCCTACCTGGAAATTTCAAGAACTGTGAGCGGGACCTGCAGTTTTGTGCTGCTCCAGGAAAAAAGGATCGGCGGGGCTGGGAGGAGAGGAAGATGGCTCGGGGATGTGGAGCGGCAGGAACTGGGATCCCCAGGTCATCGTGGAGTGGTTTGGGGTTGGGAGGGACCTTAAGGATCATCGTTCCCATCCCTGAAATTGTCCCTGGACGGGGCTTGGAGCCACCTGGGAGGGCGGCAGGTGTGGGATAAACGGGGCTGGATGAGCTAGAAGATCCCTCCCAAAAAATCCCGCGATTTCACGATCCCGTTCCAGGGCTCAGAAGTCCTGATATTTCCCTGACCTTGGAAGAGCGATTCCTCATCCCGGAGGTCCTCCCGGGATGGATCCGGGCTCGCCCCATCCCGGGAGACCGTAGATTTCCCGGCAAGCGCTTCCACAATCCCACTGGTGGCTGGAAAAGGGAAAAAAGGCTTTCCCTCCTTTCCACCCATTCCCGCTGGGTTTGGGGGCAGAGAAAACTGGCTGAAAAAATGGAATCAAACCCAGGAGCCGAGGGGAGGCTGCGGAGGGAATTTTCGGCTCTCTCCCTACTCTGGGAATTCTCAGCCGCTCATCCCAAGGGATTAGTAGGGATTTCCCGTCTCCCAGTCCCTCTCCCTGCTCCTTTTCCAGCCCTTCCCCGGGATGCCACAACCCCGGAGAAGGCGCAGGAAGGAGACCGGGAATTTTTCCCCTGCCTGGAATTTCGCTCCTGGAAGGAGGGAATAAATGATCCACGAAATTTCCAAGGGATACGGAGTCAGGAGATGCCTCTGGAGCTCGCAAAATATTTGAAGTTTGCCGTGAATTTTATTTTGATAGTTTGGGTGAGTGGGAGAGGTTTCGGGGTTTTTTTGGGAAGAAAATCACACGGTAGGGAATTTATTGAAGGAAAACGGACCCGGGAGCTATCGGGTCTGGGGAGGGGGAGGGAATGGCCTGGGGGGGATTTTCCCCCAAAAGTTGAGAGGTGCTGGAGGTGATGCTGGGCTGAACTGGCAGGTGGGCTCGGAATGGTGTGGGACCGCTCCGTGCTGGGAGCAGGGCTCTCACACTGGTGCGGCACGAACCTGTACGGGTGTGATGGGGGCTCCTACTGCGACAGGGATCCCCAACCGGCGGTCTGTGAGCGCCACACCAGCCCCAGCCCGCCCAGCCTCCGCTCTGCGCACGCGCGTGATTACGTCACGACCCGCCCTGCCCCGCCCAACCGGAACTACACGTCCCTTCTGCGTGTGCGCGACTCTAACCATGCCCATCACATGAAGGGTGTGGTCACTGGCCCCACCCCCGATAATTGGCGCGTACGCTTTGGGTGAAACATCGGGGCGTGGCTCGCTAAACCCCGCCAACCTCTTGACGCAATGCCCACCCGATGGGCGTGGTCAGTGTAATCCCGCCCATCCCACCTGCCCGTGAATGGGCGGGGCCATGGTGAGCCCGCGCCGTTGCCATTAGCGACGGCGGCTGCGCGCGAGAACCGGGGTGGGGCTGCGGCCGCGCGTGTCCGGGGCGCGCGCTCGTGGCGGGAGAGGGGCGCCCCCTGCCGGAGAGCGCTGAGGGACGGGGTCTGTGAGGGGGCGCGTCTGAAAGGGGGGGGTGGTCTCTGAGGGAGGGGGGCTCCCGAGGGTGGGAATCTGTGAAGGGGAGTTCCTGAGGGAGGGGGTCTCTGAGGGAGGGGTTCCTGAGCAGAGGGGCTTCTCCAAAGCGGGGTTCTTGAGGGAGGCGGTCCGTGAGGATGAGGGAGTCTCTGAGGTGGGGGTCTCGGGGGTCCATAGCGGGGCCCCTTCCTCTCGTGGCGTCTCGGGGGCTCTGAGGGTGTCCTGAGCCCCGGCCCTGTTTCTTGGGGGCTGCTCTCAGTGGAGGAGGGGGTCCCTGGGGAGCGCTGGGTTTTGGGGGGCTGCTAATGAAGCCCATCAAGGTATGCCTTTCTCCAGGGAAGCCCCCTGCGGACGGGGATACTTTGTGGTGGCTTTGAGCTTAGAAATGGCTTAAAAAACCCTTTTACCAGCCCTGAGCTGCTCCTGCCGCCTGTCCCAGGTGACAGAGCCGTCCCCGTCAGCCGCCATGGGCTCTGTGCGCTCCCTGTCCGCCCTCAGCGCTGCCCCGAGCCGGAGGAAAGCCGAAGATGAGGAGCCTGAGGATTTATTGGCCAGCCAGGAGCCCGCGGAGGACGTGGCCAGGATTCCCTACATGGAATTCACAGGCCAGGACAGCATCACCTGTCCCACCTGCCAAGGCACCGGCTGCATCCCCACAGGTGGCTGCTCCTCTGGGGCCTAAGCACCCCAAAAAACAGCTGTAAATAGCAAAAAAAGGTCACTTTTTAATGTGTTATTCCCATTTTTGTTTCCCAGAGCAGGTGAATGAGTTGGTGGCTCTGATCCCCTACAGCGACCAGCGGCTTCGTCCTCAGAGAACGTAAGGGAGTAATTATTTTATCACTTATTGCTGCATTTAGGGGTTGTTTTCACCCCAAAAAATAGGATTTAAAGCATGTTTTAAAATATTTCTACTGTGGGCCCCATGATTGCACTCCCAACTTCCATCCCGTCAGTAGAGTGCAACTGCAAAAAAATCCCAAAATGCTGCTTTGATTGCTCATTACCCAACCCCAAATGTGTAAAGGGAGGATTCTGAGCCATTTCAATATTAAAAATGTGACAGCAGCTCTTGAGTGCCTTTTGCAAGGGAGCCAAACAGGGGGTGGGCTCTTTAGGGTCTGGATTTCGCAGAGGAGGTGAAGGATTTAATTTTTTTGTTTTTCTTTTTTTCCCAGGAAACTCTATGTGTTGCTCTCAGTGCTGCTCTGCCTGCTGCTGTCTGGCCTGGGGGTTTTCTTCCTGTTCCCCCACTCCGTGCTGGTGGATGATGATGGCATCAAAGTGGTCCAGGTGTGGTTTGACAGGAAAAACTCTGCTGTCCTCCTGGCCATCACGGTAAATTTTCTGTGGATTTGGGAAGATAAATCACCAGGGGAATGAGCCAGCAGGGTCAGGGCTGTTTTTGTCTCCCCCAGGCCACCCTGAGGATCAGGAATTCCAACTTCTACTCGGTGACAGTGAGCAGCCTGAGCAGCCAGGTGCAGTACATGAACACCGTGGTGGGCAGCCAGCAGCTCACCAACGTCTCCAGCATCCAGCCCCTGAGGGACAAACTGGTACTGACTGGGAGTTCTGGGGGCTGCAGCTCGGGGTTTCAGTGTCCACTGGCCACAGCAGCTTTTGCTCTGTCCACTCCCCCCAAAAATGGGGCTGAAGGGTGATTAAACTGCACTGAAATCTGATTTTTCGCTCTGTTGCAGGTGAATTTCACCGTGAAGGCAGAGCTGAGTGGATCTCTGTCCTATGTGTAGTAAGGATTTACTGCTCCTTGGAGGTACCTGGGGGAGGAAGAGGGTTGGAGCCGCTTTGATTAAAGCGTGGAGAAATAATCTAGAAATCACTCACTTTTCCTGCTCAGTTCCTTTGCCAAGAATTTTCTCAAGGTGCTGTGAGATGGTTTTGTTAACACCAAAGTGAAAAATGCCGTCGGGAGCTGCCAAAAACCCCAGATTCCTCAGGTTTTTCACTTGCTGACCAATTTCCTTGATCTTTTCCAGTTTTTTCTGCACTTTGCCCAAAGTGAAGGTCCACAACATCGTGATCCTCATGAGGTGGGTCCTGCTCCTGCTTTGGGTTCTTGGAGCTCTTTTCTTCTTAAAGATTCTGTTGTTCTGTGGTTCCTGAATCCCAAGGGAATTCTAGCCACAGATTTGGGCTCCAGGGAGAAAATCCTGCTTGGATTTTCCCCACATTCCCCCCAAATCCGTCTCAGGGTCAGGTTTTAATCCAGCCCAAGGGGTGGTCGATGTGGGGTGGAGCACACAGCTCACTCCAGAGGCTGCAGTTCCCACTTTTTCACCAAAACTCGCAGGAATTCGGGGTGTTTTTTTGAGGAAAAGAGTTGTGTGATGTCTGGGCTGTCCCTTTGCCCTGCCAGGACCTCGGTGAAGCTCTCCTACATCGGGCACAGCACCCAGAGCGCCCTGGAGACCTTCCACTACCTGGACTGCAGCTCCAACTCCACGGCGCCGGGGGCACCCTGAGGGGCACCAGGGGGACCTGAAGCCACCCCAGAGTGGCAGCCAAGGGACGTGAGTGGCTCTGCAGGGACAAACCTGGCAGCCCTGGGGCCCTTCGGAGCCCTGCTGGGGGTTGCTCCTTCCCTTCCTCTTTGGGAAGGAAGCTGGAACTTTCCCTCCTGAATTAAGGGCTGAAATCCCGAAGATTTACGGGGTTTGCACCCGTTCTGGAAGCTTAGCACTGTCAGGGTGTTTTGGGGTAAATGGATTCGATTTTTGAGAGTAAATGAGTTTATTTTTTCAGGGCAAGTGAATTTATTTTCCTGCTCAGTGGTGGCAGCCCCTCAAGACCCCAAAAATGGGACAGTTCCCACCAGGAATGTGCCTCTGTTACACCCTGGAAGTAGGCAAAGGAGCCCAAATCTTTGGAATTAATTTTTCCTCATTTTTCCCCTGTGGCTCCGACCCCTTTGGCATCCAGAGGCTCTTCCCTGGGGTTTGAAATCCGGGAATTTGCTGCTTTTTGTGCTCCACTTCCCAAAGCAGCAGGGATTGGAGGAGGGGGTTCTGTGGGAGGCTGGGATTCCAAGGCCTCCCTGCCGGGAGCTGGACATTCCTGTCGGCCACTATCCCGAGGAAAATCCAGCTGCCAGCTCGGCCCCCGCAGCCCTTTGGCATTATGCCCCTTTTTGGGAGTTTTTTTCTGGAAGTTCAGCCCTCGTTTCCCGTGGGATTTGGCAGCCAGGCACAGATACAGGTGAGGAAGTCCTTCCTCGGTAGAAAAATTACTAGATAGTTGGGTGACAGTGGCACAAAATCCACACTTTGCTCTCTTTTCCAACAGGAGATTCCTGTCCCTTCAGCGTTTTTAGGGCTGAATCCTCCATTAAACCTGATTTGGATCTTTCCATGTGCTGTCCTTTATTTTTTTTAAGGAAAAGGTCCAGGTTTGTCCTAAATCCAGTGCTCTGCTGGGATTGTTCCTGTGGTGTTTTTTGCCAAAAAATCCCTGTTTTGCTGATGGATTTCCACAGAATCCCAGAATGGATTGGGAGGGATGCTAAAGCTCATCCCATTCCACCTCCCACCATCCCAAGGATGGGGAGTCCTCTGGGAATGCCCTCACAAGGAGGGATTCCTTCCCAAAGTCCCACCCAAACCTCCAGATCCCAGTGGGAAGCCACTCCCTGGGTCCTGTCCCTCTTTCCTTTGTCCCAAATCCATTCCCAGCTCTCCTGAAAGGACACCCTGAAGCCTTCTCCAGGCTGGAAAATCCCATTTCCCCCAGCCCTTCCTAGGAGTTTTTTGGGGGAAAATGAGGAGGAAAAAACTGAAGCAAATGCCCATTCCTAGCTGGGACCAGTGCCCAGAATCCCAGCCTCCTTCCCTGGTGACCCAAAACTTGTCTCACAGAGCCCCCAGTTCCCACTGAGTTTTATTTATTTATTTATTTATTTATTTATTTATTTTTTAAGGAGAAGGGAGAAATCCCAAACTTTGCTTTTCCTCCATTTTCTTCCCCTCCTGGCTGGGTACAATCCTGATTTTCTGAGGGTCTCCCCACATTCCCTTTCCCCCTCTTTCCCCCAGCCCCATCCCACTTTTCCAAGGATCCTGGAGGGGTTTCTTGGAGGGGGTGCCCCCAGCAGGGACCCTCGAATTTTCTGCTTGGCTGCACCAGGAGGGGAAGGGTTTGACCCCAAATCCTTTGTGCAGAGCTCCCATTAGGAGAGCCTCTTAAAGGACATTTTTGGGTGGAAAATCCTCTTTAATCCCCCAATCCTCCTTAATGAATTTACCCTGCCAATGTTTTGGTACTTGGCCACAACTGCTGTGCTTGAAGCTGGGAGGGTTTAAAATTCAAATTCTGCCCCGAAATGTCTTTCTTAAAAGCTGTTTTTGAAAACCCTTTCAAGTTATAATTTCTCCAAGAGAAGTTTTGCCATGCACAGAGGCAAAAAGGGGAGTTTTGACCCCAAAGAATTGGGATGAAACTCAGGAATTCCTCACCCAGGTGCTGCCTGGGGCCTCCTGCACAAGGAAGTCTGAGCTGGTTTGGGCTCTTCTGGGTCACTGGGCTGATTTTCGTCAAGATCATTTTAAAAAAATCCCATTTCTGATCTTTTTGCCTGTAATGAACAGCCTGGTGAGGAGCAGAATTTTCATCCGGGATTTTTTATGGCACAGCAAGACGGGAGGACCACGGAGTCTCCTACTTCCAGTGCTGCAAAACAGCCCAAAATGGAGTTTTTGCAGGTAAAAACCAGGATAAAATCCATGGGGAGGAGGAGACAGCCACCCCTTGCCCTGGTGACACCAAGATTGTGCCAGTCCTAATTATGGGACAAGAATTCCACAATTAAACCTCCTGCTTTTCCAAGATTTTTCACTTCTAAGTTTTTCCCTTTTCTTTTTTTTTCCGGCTTTTTTGGGGGTTTCCCCTCTCTTTTCCCTTTTAGTTTGAAGTATCCCAACCCAAAAACTTTGCAGTTTTAACACAAAATGAGGATTTTAAAGGGATTTTTTTCCCAACATAAAGAACTTTATAGTGATTGAAAGGGGGAGGATATATTTGAATCACTGCACACACACCCCCTCCCCCCC